TATCCGGACATTCGAAATTTCCCAAACAGTCCTATTATTTACGTTGTTACCGATATGTGCGGGTTTAGGGGCTATAGAAGTTGTATAATGACTTTCCATTTGCGTCAATAGTTTGGCGTCCGTCCATCTCGCTATAGTGATTATTCCGTCTCATTTATTTCGTTCGAGACGTAATTATTTGATTCCTACGTCTTTTGCAATTTCTCTTTCAATCGCTTTTTCATGATATTGAAAATATAATTAATTGCTTATGCTAATTCATTATAAACATCATCATCATCATATCAGCCAGAAGACGTCCACTGCTGAACATTGGCCTTCCCCAAAGATTGCATCCAACGTTTACCCGCCGCCCTTACCAGGTCACTCGTCCATTATAAACATAATAATCCCATAATACAATCAACAACAAGCTCAGTTTAACAAAATAGACTTTGATTTGCCGTTATCATGTGTGCCATAGTGTTGAATCTAAATCTACGCTGTAGTGCTGAGTGTACTGTTAGCTGCACGTGCTATTATTAAACTGTAAACAACAATAAAAAACTATGTTGTTATGAAAACGAACAACGTTATTTCTGACATCAATGATTTCTTGTTACTCTTTCAAAGAAATACATAAACGGTACATAAAACCGCCGTCAAAGATGTATTTCCAGACATAAATAATAAATATTAACTTATATGTTTTTCTAACATCTCGAGAAACACTTGTGAAATTTTTCTGTAGTAAATGTAAAGTTTCATTACAGTTTCTATGTTTATTTACGATATGTGTGACATACAAGGAAGCATTGGGTTCGTGCCAATTGTTTCTTTAGTAATTAAAAAGACTACAAAGAGGAAACCGCGATAATGAAATTAAAATTACAGATAAATAGACAAAAGAAACAATGTTTTAAGAATAACCAAATACAAAATGAAACATCTGTTGCAAACAACAGGGAACAGCAAACTTTTAATGTCGGAAGTTGTGAAGAGAATGATATGGTTGAAAAGACACCATTACAATTTACATTGAAACAAATTAAAATTCATTAACTTACGTGCTTTAGTCGGTCGATGTATTGGTTAAAATGAACGATGTGATTTGATCTGGCGACCCTAGTCTGACACACCAGATTTACATCAAGTTGGAGCAAGGACTCCGTCATACGAAATTGCGTCCAAACCGGATGTCACAAAAATAAAGTCACAAGTAAATCATGGATTTATAAATTGGAGCAGCGAAAATCGAACATTTCGGTTTGGAGAAGCAAAAACAAAACGCGTAAAACGCTCTAAGCAAATAGGTCAACGATCGTTAACAATTTAAAAGAAGGAAACTAAAAAAGAAAGAGCACACACACAAAACGAAAACTGTGTCGACTCCAAATGATGGGATAAAGTTGGAGGATGATGATAGAAATAGAGGAGATACTAACCTGATCCAGGCTGTTCAATGTCTGCTTTACACCGCTCAATGAGGTACTCGGCCACGTCGTAGTGGCCGTTCCTGCAAGCGATGACGAGTGGCGTCGCGCCGCCGACTTTCGCACCCACCAACATGTTCAGCTCGTCTGCGGAGCGCCAACTGTGTAGGTACACCTGCAACAAGACACACACAATTTGTTATTATTTGTCATCTTAATAGACTCTAAATATACACGGCCAGGTTTAAAGCCGGGTCAAATCGTGGTAAATAGGTTTACGATAGAATCTGTCTAAAACGAGTTTAGACTAGCGTTACTAATACCATTGTCGCCATGATTGACGAGGGATTGGTATTCAGTGTTAAAATCACAATAAATATCCAATTTGTTTTTCCAAGACGGAGTAAAATGACAGTTCCATGCAAAAAAACGTCGCCAGACTAATTGCAGTCGATAAATATTCTATCATTATCAATTGTATTGTGGTTATGCTTACGCAATAAAATGGCGGACTTGTTTCATTTCTATATAATAAAACGTAAAACTGTTTAATAAAAATAGGTGGATAAGAAGAATAAGATCGTCTATGCACTTTACAAATTAATTGTAAATCCATCCAATGGGCAAACTCTCAAAATACACGAAAAGAAGGCGATAACTCAATTGTTAATCATTAGAGCCTATGCACATGGCGTATTTTAGCGCCGACGACGTTCGTCATCTGCGTGTATACAAGCCACAGACGCGCTATAATTGCGCGTGTCTATTTTTTTTTTTTTTTTTTTTCAAATAGCAGTAGAGGTCCTTGTTAAAGACTTCGTACAGGGAAGTACTGCCACCTTATCTATTTCTGCCGCCAAGCAGTAATGTCAGCATTACTGTGTACCGGTTTTGAGGAGTAAGGGCGCGTTCCCACTATGCCGTGACGACAGATTGTCGTGCAGTTTACAGTGTCGTGGCTTGTATATATAAATGAAGTTGTTCACATATAGCACGACACGATTAACTGTCGTTCACGATTTTTTATCGTTACAACAGTGGCAACAGCTAGAACGACAGTCGTCAGACGATAAAAACACGTCACGATAAAAAAGTGACGACAGATTGTCGCATCTCCTATTGTCGTCACGATCTAGTGGGAACAGCTAGTCACGACAGTGTTCAACGATAAAAAACCATCCACGACAGATAGTCGTGATATGGGAACAGACTAGACACGACAGTCGTCCAACGATAATAAAACGTGATCTTTGTATTAATAATTATAAAATTTCTTTATTATTCTTATTCTTTCATTAAAAAAAAAGAAAGAATAAGAATAATCTATATTCGCCGACTAACTCCGTAAACGTTGTTGGATAACGATATCGTATCCGAATCCGAATAGAACGTTTTAAAACTCGAATGTTCTGAGTAGCTCGGAAGGCGCCCTTCGATTCGAGAACGAATTTAGTAGCAGTAGAGCTCCTTGTGAAAGAGTTCGTCCAGGGATGTACTGCCACCTTATCTATTTCTGCCGCTAAGCTGTAATGTCAGCATTACAGTGTTCCGGTTTTGAAGGGAAGGGGTGAAATTACAGGCACATGGGACTTGTCAACTTACGTCTCAGGATGACGGGCGCAGTGGCAGTATTCCTCAGATCCTTGCGATTTAAAGCTCTGAGTGGCACTGCAACTGTTATGGACAGGCGTATAGCTTACCATCAGGTGCACGACTTGTTCGTCCCGTCACTTGATATTATAAAAAAAAAATTATATCCAGTCAAACGATTCGGTTAAGATATCGAAGAGTTCTGAATCGGGGTCCTGGTCCCGAATGAAAGATTTCATAATGGGTAGGTCATATCTATCAGGTATGTTACCTGTGAAATGGTGTTGGTGCTGCCCCTCAGCCTGCTGAGCAATGAGGCTGTTTTTTTGCGGATAATAGCATTGAAACCATCAACCAACCCGCGCCTCTGCAAACACGGTAGACGCATTGCAAAAGTGGGGCAACCCCATTAAGATTCTAAACCCATTCGTGTTATGATAAATAATTTTGCACAATAAAACAAATAGTCATAACTTTAAAAAAAAAACCACCCTCAAAGGTTTGCGTATCCGTTTCACTGTGTTTTATTTTCGTTAAAATGTAGTTTCCAGTAGTCTATGTGCCAAGTTTTATTGAAGTCGGTTAACGGAAGTCGGTGAATTTCAATAGGTCGGATTCATCCCCTATTTTCTCTTTCCAACAAAAAAGAATTGGGATCACAAATGTCGGAGTAATGGCGGAACATACACACATAAAAAAAACAGACGATTTGTAACCTCCTCCTTTTTTGAAGTCGATTAAAATGGTATATAAATTCAGTTCATGACATCTTAAGAGCTCTCATGCCAAAAAAGTTTTGACGTTGGCTCCGCCCAAATTTGTGAAACAAATATATGCCTGAAGTTCGCGTGACATGCGACAGGAGATGTTGAATTTTGCGCATTAAAAGTACCGAATTCGTTTTAGCGGAATAACTCTAAAACTAAAGGGATTAAAAAAAAATTCGTAGTGACAGTTGTCGATCATGCATAAATATAATTAATTATCTAATTTTTGTCCTAACAACCTGTAGCATTTCGAGGATAAATCGAAAAAATGTGAAAATTAGAGGTCATTTTGTGATTTTTATCTATCGAGGAAACTTTATTGTTTTATGTTTCTGATTAATGTCTATGCTTGAATATATCGTGTAGTTACTCATACAATATTTTATTTTTAACTTTAAAGTGGATATACACCTCTAAAATCGACTCGAAGATTAGGAATTTTTCCTCTGCTCCCTCTTAATGAAGAAAGTAAATGTTAATTTTACTACAGTTTGTTTCAAAAGCTCAATTTTATTTTGTTGTGCAAGTAATATACACTCGGTTGATTTTATTAGTCACGACTAAAATGTGTAAGCAGGTAGTTTTCATTTCATTTGTTACCGTGTTTTGGTCGCTTAGAAAAATAACTTAGTAGTAAACATTACCAAATTATTAAATTACAACTAAATTCATTAAATTATCATATTACTTATATTTAATATTTAGATAATTAAAACTGAATAAAAAAATTGAATTGATTAAAATCTACAGATGTTTAGTAACAAAAGTACTTATTGCTCTAAGAGTCGTATTCTAGAACTCTATTCAATGCTCAAGTCAGGATTGCACTGCCAACACAAGCACTGGAAATGCGCCCCTAATGGCAGGGACTTGAGTATGATATCAAGTGCTTTAAACCATACTCAAATCCTAACTTGAGCATTGAGTAGAGTTCTAGAATACGACCCTTAGTGTTAGTAATGACATGCAAGTGACAAGCGCTGTTTATGTACGGACAGTAGAACCTGTCCGCTATCATGCATAGGATGATGTTGGAGCTGGCCCGTACCCTGCTCATGAATACCGATGCTTGTTTGCGCATGATCGTATAGAAGCAGTCGACCCGAGGCGCTGAAGTACCGGGGCAGTCCATCAACACCCTAAACTACGAATTAAAATATATCAACTAAATTAAATTTATAATTCATGATGAATAACTTGTAGTAAAAATTTAATACATGTTTGAAAAAAAATAATTTCCCAACTTTATTTTTAAGTTAGCGTATAGTCAATGGCTTGGGGTCGCTTTGATGTTTTACATAAGTAACAAAAAAAATGTGCATTCACGAACTTACAATGTATGCTAATAAAGGTACCTATATGCTTAGAATAATAACGCATAGAAACCTAGTCCACACACGCTAAGTGAGGCAAATTGAAGCGCGCCCAATGGGCCTACACGAGCGGGCGAGCCTTCAGTGCTCAAAGTCAACTTGCACCGCGAACAGATCAAGAATTTTAGCTAAAAATGACGAAATGTGCGGTAAATGAGTGTAAAAATACGTCAGACAAACATAAAACAGATACTAACATCACATTCCACAAGGAAGTAACGCGTTTCAACTTGTATTTTTATATAAATATTCACTAAAACCGAAAATTAACCTACTACTCAAACTAGCCTACATGAATTTGATATTTGCCTCACTTGTGACAGTTCGTTTGGTATGAAACTATCATTCTATGCATTATTATTCTAAGCCTACATGATAATTTACTGTTTTTACTTATATTTTAATAGTGATTCAATATTCAGTATTCCACCGAATAGAAAGAAACAGGCCGAATAGTCGTTTCAACCGACTTCAAAAAAAGGAGGAGGTTCTCAATTCGACTGTATTTTTCTACGCGACACCGACGGCATTTATGAACCGATTTTTTATTATTCCACCTCTAGGGGTGGTAAACTAGGGGATGAATCTGGTTTCGCGCACTTTCCGGTAACCGATTTCAATAAAACTTGGCAAATAGGTGTAATTCCACGACCTTTTGAAGGCGGTTTTTTCAGTACTCTGATTATACTGTAATGAAACCATAGCTCTAATTATTCTTATTGTTTGTTTCCAGTGACATTTGACGGCGAGACCATAGAAGGCGCGCCGCCTTTGTGGTGCGCCGCGGCAGCAGGCCACTTGCCCCTCGTGCGACTGCTGATCCGCGCAGGCGCCAACGTCAACTCAACGACGCGCACGCAGTCCACGCCTTTGCGGGCGGCTTGCTTTGATGGGCATTACGACATTGTTAAGTTCCTCGTCGAAAACGGCGCCGGTGAGATGCAGCTCTTGTTATTTTATACATTTTAATAATACTCGTATAGGACGAAGTAAATGGCGACTGTCATGATAATCATGATTGAATTCCCTGTCGCTTCAGAGGATCTCTTAACTGCTCAAACCAAAAAATTTAAGTGTGTTCTGGTTTTTTACATTGACTGAATGATCAACTTAAAATTTGTATTTTAATAAATAAACTTTTCTCGTTGCGTAAGCTTTATCCGGTTTCATTTTAGGTCGATTTTCCTTGTAACTTATCGCCAGACGCGTACTTTTATCAGGTCCATAAACACGTATTTGGTGTGTTCCGATGACACATTAGGCACTTTATTTATTTTACATGCAATACAGTAAATAAAGAATAGAAAATTAATAATAAAATAATATTGTCAAATGGGATTATAACTCGGCCACATAGTACCTATATATATGAGAATATATTATATCATTAAGGACATTTAAAAAATTTACATTCACACTTAAGTTGGAACGGAGGGTAATTTTCAGATTCGTTTTCTCTACCTAATTTTGGTGGAAATTTTTGTTATTTAAGTGTTTAAGTGTATTAGCGTGAAATATTTTAAACATTTTAAAATACTACACTCAGATATTAAATAATATTGCTTGATAATATTCAAGAATATTTACTTAATCAGAAACTCTCTAAATTAAAAGTTTGAGAAAACTAACCTGAAATTACCACGCCTGTCTTCCAATGGGGTAGACATAGGCACGTAAAAAACTTCTCACTTTAATTAAGCTTCTTCACAATTACGTCGATTCACAACTTCTTCTTCATGTGCCATCTCCTACCGGAGGTCGGCCATTGTTATAACCACTTGGGGACCCGTAACTGTGGTACTTATGTTGAATCATTCTGCAAGAGTTTGGAGCCAAATGGTTTTTCTACGGAATTTTCTGCAGCCTTGGGTTTTTCCTTGCAGAATGAGATTCAACTTACTAATTAACATCTTTAATAATCCATCTTTGTCTATTACTTTACAGATATAGAAATTGCAAACCGTCACGGCCACACGTGTCTTATGATAGCGTGCTACAAGGGCCGGATTAGAATTGCAAAGTACCTTTTATCTTTAAACGCAGACGTGAATAGGAAGAGCGTTAAAGGGAACACAGCGTTACACGACTGCGCTGAGAGCGGGTCACTACACATTATGAGGATGTTGCTTGAACACGGAGCTACTATGGATGTCGATTCTTACGGTATGTAGTTTCTTTAATAGTGGATACAACCTCAATCCCGCATAACAGTAAAAATGTTGAATCAATGACTTTAGGAAAAAATATATAGTGTACTTGAGGATATACACTGATGAGTATACGGTGTAGAAAGTAGATTCGTAAAAATTTTCACGATAGGAAAAACATAAACTTACTTCGAAATTATACAAGAAAACCGCTGTATTCAGTTCCAATTCAAATTCAAAATAATCTTTATTTCATAGGTAAGCAATATTACACTTGAAATCGTCACAATGGTTAAACTCTACCGCTCATTCGTAAGGCAGATTCCCCTGAGAAGAATGAGCAAGAAACTCAAGAAGCTCTTTGTAAATAACATTTAACATTTATATTTTAACATTTAACATTTATATATAATAGATACTTAACGTATACCAATGATTGTTTTTATATCAACTGAACTAAATATAACACGTATAGTATATGATATACATTTTTATATTTCATTTTTTATTAAAAATAAGTTCTGAAATAAGCCAGTGTCCTTGACGCTCGACCCGCGCTATTGCTCTGATTCAGTACCGGAAAAGTTAATTCGAGGCAAGGTAATATCGAGTCTTAACGTTTTTTTTACATCTTTAACTCGAAACCGTAGATCCGGAAGGTATCAGGGCTCTTCGTTTGTACAAAAACATATTTTTAAGTAGCAGTAGAGCTCCTTATCCTTCGACCGGGGAAGTCCTGCCACCTTACCTATTTCTGCCGCCAAGCAGTAATGTGAGCATTACCATAATCGAGAAGACCTAAAAAAAAAGTATAAAAAAAACAGGTTTAAATACTAGATGAGTATGTACTTGCATAAGTAAACAATGATGCCATGATATTTTTCTCGAAGAATGGGGATCTAACAATCATTGTGAAACGGACAAATTTTAAATACCAATGTCCTCTATTACAATTAATTTGTTATTTACTCGTCTTTCAGGCATGACACCACTTCTTGCAGCATCAGTGACGGGCCACACGCACATAGTGGAGCATTTAATAAATTTAGAACACGGTCTTGTAACGCGGCAGCAGAGGATCGACGCGTTGGAGCTCCTCGGGGCCACATACGTGGACAAGAGAAGAGACATGGTCGGTGCGCTGGCGCTTTGGAAAAGGGCTATGGATGACAGGTAAAGCTGAATTTAAAAACAAGTTCCATGATCATTTTGTCTCTGATCTAACTGTCCTAAGTGGAATTAGGCAGGTTTTTCAGGGCAATGAGTGTTCGGTTCGAAACGGGGCTCGTACCTCTGAGTAGTTAGTAGCAGTAGAGCTTCTTGTGAAAGAGTTCCAAGGAAGTATTGCCACCTTACCTATTTCTGCCCCCAAGCAGTAATGTCAGCATTACTGTTCCGGCTTGGTAGAGTATGTATGCTGGTGATATTACGGGCACATGGGACTTTTCAACTTATGTCTCAGGGTGACGGGAGCAGTGGGAGTGCCTTTCAGATCTTTGGGATTTAAAGCTCTGAGTGGCACTGCAAGTGTTATGAACAGGCGTGTAGCTTACCATCAGGCGTACGACTTGTTCGTTCCGTCACTGACAGTGGCAGGACTTCCCTGGACGGACTCTTTCGCAAGCTCTACCACTACTAAAAATTCTCATTATATAGAACATCTGTTGAAAAGTCGTGTAGATGTGGGCAAATTGGCAGCAACATCTGAGTTTTGCATTTTTACGCATTTTTGCTCGTCATGATTGTGCAAGAATGCGCGTGCGCAATTCAGACGCGTTATTTTTGTATCCAGTCTTGTGGGGAAACACCGATTATAGAAGTAAGTATTTATGGTACATTTCAGATTTCCAACTGACGGCAGCGAGCCTATACCGAAGCCAAAAGATATACCTCGCATCGAGGCGTACGACTACGCGGTAGAACCGAGTGACGCGCAACAGCTCGACGAGCTGCTCGCGGACCCCGACGCAATGAGAATGCAGGCGCTTGTTATAAGAGAGAGAATCCTAGGTAAGACGTCGACACCATCTGCAACATTTTGATAGCTTTCTTAATACAGTCAAGAGCACTTTGAACTTTGGACTGTTCTTATCGTAAGCGGCATAGAGTTGAATATGATGCTGAATTCACGACTTTAAAACGCTCACATGTAAACTTGGCAATTTGGACATACGATACTTTACGTAGGAGGGGTCGATTTATTCCATAGGTAAAATTATTACACTTTTTTGCTCGTTCACTACTTAAACCTTCCTGAGAAGAACGAGCAAGAAACTCTAGGGATTCCTCTTTTCAAATAAACTTAAATGCATTTTGAATCATATTTGTGTGGAATCTAGACTGACGTTGTTTTTCCATACATCTTTATCTAATACGTAGTTACAATTTTGTAATGTGACTTTTCAATTAAAATACTTTTAATGCAAGGTTTAAACTTAGGAAATTGTAATCTTCGTAAATGCTCCGGAATCTCTAATCACGACTGTTTCATATAACTTTAGCCGTGCTATTGCCTATCCTTATTGTTGTAGTCTTAGAATAATAACGCATAGAAACCTAGTCCGCACACGCTAAGTGAGGCAAATTGAAGCGCTCCCAAAGGGCCTACACGAGCGGGCGGGCCTTCAGTGCTCAAGGTCAACTTGCACCGCGAACAGCTCAAGAATTTTAGCTAAAAATGACGAAATGTGCGGTAAATGAGTGTAAAAATACGTCAGACAAACATAAGATAGATACTAACATCACATTCCACAAGGAAGTAACGCGTTTCAACTTGTATTTTGATATAAATATTCACTAAAACCGAAAATTAACCTACTACTCAAACTAGCTTACATGAATTTGATTTTTGCATCACTTGTGACAGTTCGTTTGATATGCGTATCATTCTATGCGTTATTATTCTAAGGTTGTAGTCGTAAAATGGCAATTTCGACGTACGATATTTGACGAAGGAGTTTGACTTTGACGTCCGACGTTTGATCTTGCACGGTGCGTGCAGGCCCCGCGCACCCCGACACGTCGTACTACGTGCGCTACCGCGGCGCCGTGTACGCCGACGCGGGCCGCTTCTCGCGCTGCCGCCAGCTGTGGCACCACGCGCTGGACATGCAGCGCACCGTGCTGCCGCCGCTGTCGCCGCTCACGCAGTCCTCGCTGTACTCCTTCGCCGAGCTCTTCTCCTACATGCTGGGCGAGCGCGCGCGGCCTCCGCTCAGAGGTACCCGGCCGCAGCCGGATCTTGCCTTAGCTCACTGATTCATAACGCACTCACTCAACTATGTATGCACTGCAGTTAGTAATTGCTAATCGTATCATTCGAATGACAAATTAGTAGACTAGAAATTTTCGTATTCGAATCTGAATGATCATTCATTTAGGAAATGAAACTATTTTTCCGGATTTAAATCGCGTATATTTGTTTTTTCAAACAAACCGACATTTCGGGCCCTATTTTTTCACTATAGTTATTAATAAAATACCTTATTTTTAATTTTACAAAGATAACATTCCAATTTACGCTATATTAAGTTTTTACAAATTATTTTATTGAATGAATTTTTTTATTAAGTTCAATTTATTATTAATTATTAATAGAAATTAGAATAAACTAAAACATATTAATTAGTACTGCAGTC